ATGTTTCCCAGCGGACAGGGTTGATGCTCGCTGCCGGCTGCTCAGCCTCCCAGGAGAGGAACTACACAGTGAAGAAAAAAAATCCCTTTTCACCCCAATATAGCATTTTACTAAAAGAGAGAACTGCAACGACGCTTCACGGGAGAGTTGCAGGCCGTGTGTGATCCGACCGTGTATTCAAAGCAGCTGCTGACCTTACCTGCCTTCAGCTGTGCTGGCGGAGATCTCCTGCATGGAGCATCTACCACCTCTGGCTGCATTTCTAGAGGAGAATTATAGCCAGCTGCTTTTGCAAACGCATTGCTTCTGCACCCGGTTAAAAAAAATACGTCTATCAACTCTTCAAAAAATATTTCCTATGTCTGCAGCTCGGAAACGCGACTTTACCTTAGCAGGAGATGGCTTCCTTATCACCCCCCTGCTGCAAAGGGCCATCCAAATTTGCCAACTTACAAGGCTTCGGAAGGACTTGCTCAGCAGTATCTCCTTTAGGAGCTTGCTGCAGGCACGAACCGGAGTTGCAGAGCGAAGGGGCTGCTGCGTGAGGAAGTTTTATTGTGACGGTAGTGGGAACTGGCAGACACACAGTCAATAGGGCAGGAAACAGCAAAACGTTTTGGAGCCCAGCCAGCGCACCACGAGGCTGAAAGATTCCCACTCTCCTCACCACCGAATCCCTCTAGAGAGTCAGTAAATTGCTTAACCTGTGCTTTTCACAAGTGCTCTGAGCTCCTCAGGTTTTTTTCCGGGTACTGAAAAACCCAATTTGCAGAAGCCCTAAACGTCCTCAGCTGCCGTGCAAAGCTGCGCCCTGCTCACCTGCAGTTCTGCGTGAGAAGTACATTGAAAAAGCGGCATCTGCTGCCCTCGGAGCAGGCGCTGGGAAAGCTCTCCTGGCTCGTAAGCAAGCTGTGGTCGGGCCACCCACGGGCACGCGGCGAGCCCCACGTAAAGCCTCAGGGGAAATTAATGCTCACACTGGCAGAGCAGGACCTGAGCGGGGCGTGGGCAACGAAGGATGGAGAGCAGCACAAAAGGCTTCTTGCCGCTGCCAGGGGCTGATGCTCCCCAGCCCTGTAGGTAATCACCTGGCCTCAGGTTGCTCCCTCTCCCCGCGTCCTCAGATAGAGCTGGGGGTTTGTCTAAAATAAAAGGAAAAGGGTAACGCGTGAGCACAAGCTAACGCATACCCATCGAGAGGCCAAACTGCGATTGCCCAGGTGACCTTAGTGGAACTAATTGATAATTGCTGGAGCTTAATTGACAATTAATTGGAGCCAATTCACAATTAAATATTTAACTTTGCACCTTTGGTCTTTCTTTAACTTTTTTTTTTTTTTTTGCTCTTGCCTATGCCTACATAAATAGGGATTTCTTTCCTACCAGAGTTGGAGTATTGACGTGCTTATAACAGCCAGCTTCTACTTGTGCAAGCCCTGGGAAGGCTCAGGGATCTGCAGGTGTTTCCTGGCCTGGCTGCTGGTTTTGCATCCCCGTTGCTCAACTCCATGCTCTTATCCCAGCAAAATCTCTCTCTTGCTCTTCTCAAGGCTGGGTAACTCTTGGCAGTGCTTACAAATAGGTTCCTGGGGTTTTGCTCTGGTTGCACAAGAGCTGTAATTTGCCCACAGCAAGCAGCAAATTAGGGGCTGGTAAGTGCAAGCACGTTGACTGCAGGACAGGGGCTTTTTGTTGGCACAGGTGTAAAAAAACCCGCTCGACGCCTGCCCGCCTGGCAGCTTCCACCCAGCCAGCCCTGGGTGCTGCCGTTTACGACTGCGAACAAAGTGGTAACGCTGCATTTTTCTGCAACAGGTTTCTAAAAACCGAGGAGTCGAAGGTATTCCCTTTCCTGCTCCTGAAAATGGCAACGGGATGGCATCACAGGGCGGCAGGAGCCCCTGCTGCTACACACAGCACGAGCTCTGGCAGAAGAGCGTGTCCGGCCGGGCACTGCTCTGCCAGCCGCTCATTAAAGGTGCTGCTCCTTGCAGGGGAACTCCAGCCATGGGTGAAATGGGAATAAAGATCACGAGATGGCCAGCACGTGCATACAGAACACGGTTTGGTTTTTTTTTTTATTATAGTTTGTTTGTTAAATTTTTTGTAGCAAAAAAAATTACCTGAACCCCATGGTTGGCTCTCAGAGGAAGAAAGGGAACTCCCAACTCCCTGGGACGAGAAATCACACGCTCCCGGTTTGCTGCTTATTGGGAAGAAGAAACGACGACCCTCCAGGTGCGTTATCCCCTTGCGAGGTGGTTCGGTGCAGGTCGTGTTCTCATCCCTGCTGCAAGCAGCAGCAATCATTACAGAGGTGTGAGAACAGCAGCTACGCAGGCGCGCACCTCTATGGCCAGTGCTGGGAGGGTGCCTGCTCCTCCTGATGAGCTTTCAGTGATCACAAGTGATTCAAGGAAAAGGAGAGCTGGAGGAGGGGGATACGATAGCCATATATATGCTACTCCTGTCCACAATCATCCCTTTTTCATTAAAAATTGACCCGGGAAGGAGGAGCACCTGAAGCTTTAGCGGTCCTGGTGGTGAAGCGTTAACAGAGATCTTTTCTACTAGTTGATGAGGCTTGAGCAGGTACCCACACCCATAGCACCGACCGGTTTTTTGGTATGGCAGAACACCAGCAGTCGTCCAGCCAACACCGAGCGGTGGGCAAGACCTGACTACCTAGTGTTTAAAAAAGTGAAACGGTAGAGATTTCTTTCATAGAAATACTCCGGTCTTTATTGCTTAAACACGTCCTTAAGCTTTTTTCCTGCCCCTGCTTGCACTACTCATTGCAGGCGAGGTACCTGCCTGCTGCCCCGGCAGCTGGCCGAGGGTAGGATGAGGCTGATGAGCGGCTCCTTTTCCTCTGAAGGACCCAGGCCATCGCCTCCCTCTCGGGTGCTAAGGCACGCTGCTGGGACAGGCGAGCACCAGCTGCCCGGGGAATATCTCTTCCCAGCACTGACAGAATTACTGAGGGCTCTCCATGACGCAAACCCCCGAGCAACGCAGGCAGCCTCATGCACGGCAGAAAAAGAGAAGGAATGATGGCCTTTTGCAAGAAATTCGTCTTTATTGAAGCAACCACGAATCACATGAGCTGCCAGCTGGCCTGAGGAATAACAATAGCAGTGGCCTGGACAATAGCAGCTGGAGCTCACAAGGGAGATTGTCTCTCTCCAGAGCGTGATATACTTAATAGGAGATAGATAGATAGAGAGATAAACATAAAAATAAAAGTGAATCTTTCCCCACTGCTAGAAGTGGGTATGTTGGCAAGTGCATATCACCACTAAATCCCTGCTAGACCGAGGTGTGTTGGTGACTGCCAGGAGGTAGCTTGAGTAATACTCTGGAGCAGTTTGAACTTGATCCTGCTTCCAGTGAAGTCAATGGTGAAGCTCCGCTGGTTCCAAGGGAGGGGGAGGAGGAGCGATAGCCCTTCCCCCACCCCCCCTTGCAATTCTTTCCAATGCAAGAGATTTGCAGCCACATTAAAATGCTAACCAGGTGCCGTGGGCTGTACTGCTGTTCTTGTAGGTGTAGCAGCCCCTGCCTGAACATCAGCACGGGGGTTTCCACGTTTATCTCAATAAACAATTGCTATGCAGCCACGTTAAAATGCTAACCGGGTGCCGTAGGCTGTTCTTGTAGGTGTAGCAGCCCCTGCCTGAACATCAGCACGGGGGTTTCCACGTTTATCTCAATAAACAATTGCTACTTACTGTTTTTCATGGCTAAAAGCCACACAAAGGAGAGGGATGAAAGCTGTTGTTGGTTCAACAGACATTTCACATAGAGTTTTACAGCAGGTTTTCCAGCAGGTGCTAAATCTATTGCAACGATGGGTTTCGGCACAGAAGCGGCTCTGCCTCCTTGCAATGAGGGCAAAGCACGCCAGGGAGTTTGAGCTAGATGAAGAGCTGAGTTCTTCAGTTGATTGAGGCTTTTTAAATTTCTGTTTATTATTGATAAGGTGATGTAAAGAGGACGTGGAGTTGGACATTGTATTGTTTGACCTGGCTGGAGATCAGTCCTGTTCTCTTATAGATTTAAACTTCAGTCCTGCATGTATGTGTAATATCAAAGTCCTTTTGTATTGCACAGCGGCGGGTGGGTTTGTGAAGCTAGATAAACACAGAGCTAAGGCTGGAAGTCAGACAAGCCTCTGTGAAACCAGTGTGGCATCAAGCTCTAGGAGGTTGACTAAATCCTGAGAATTAAAAAATGATGGTGTATTGCATTAGCAAGGAGGAATAACAGAGGGGTATGTCCTTATGCTGGTCATTTTTTCAAAGCTCATGCACTGCTTTCGGATTTTTTTTCCCTGATCTCTACCAAAAGCTCTGTAAATCTGGCAATATTTGAAAACAGGGGAAAAACAAATCGACAGTCATTGGATGCCTACATGCTCGAGCATGATCAGAAACGTGCCCAAAGTCGATCATCACGAGTGTCCAGGCTAGGAGAGCACATTCCCCATCAGTGACGACACACTTTATGTCCATATATTTGTCTATAGCACAAGATCGGTCCTGGGCTGTGATCCAAAGCCATCTTCCGAGAAACACTGCATCTTTGGGGGTCACAGGGAACGGCTCAGACGGCAGCGCAAGAGAAGTTTGGTTTAATGCTGTGATTTTGGCTGGGCTTTTCTCTCCATTTTTGTCCTGAGGGGCTCTTTGTGTCCTGCTTGTGGAGCTACAGCCACGTTCGTCCCCCGGCGAGGCGATCTGCATCTCCGAGCCCAGGTGCGCGTCGCCGTCCTTGTCCGTTTTCGGCGAAGGCGTGGGACTGCTCCTCGCAGAGCATCGTCCGCTCTGACCGGCTTGGAAACGCACGACAGCTTGTAGCGCGGGATAGGGCAACGCGTGACGCGCGTCCCACCGCCTGCGCCCATGCAACGCCTTCCCGGGGGATTCCGTGGGTGACTTCAGACATCTTCCTGCGCCAAGAGCTGGCTCTACCTGGCAGGGACGCCCGGGCGGCGGGTTCTACCTCTCTCGCAGGGTGTATTTGCCTTTCCGGTCCAGGTTGCTGCTGAAGTGGATGGAGAACCAGAGGAATGAGGTCAGGATCATCCCGTAAACCTAAAAGGAAACGGATGAGACAGGCACACAATTAAATGCCGAACTGATTATGATGCTCCACCTGTGCAAATAAGCCATCGTAAATGTCGCCTGTTAGTCCGCTTGGCACTGCTGAATTTATGTATCAGGATGTCACATTTTTCTTAAGAGAGCTGTTTTCCAGTAAAATGGTGAACACCAATTCCGACATGGGAGAAAAAAAAAAAAAAAAGCCCAACACGTGGTTAAAGCATCTGACTGGAATTAGCAGAGTACAGCTCAAACCCGGTCCTAAAAATACCAAGAAATGAGATGAAACCAGGAAATTCAGATTTCAAATCCCTGCCACAAAACATTCCTCTATGCGAACAGACATATCTCTCTCATAATAAAAGTCTTTTGTAAGGATAACATAGGGAGAAAAAAAACCAAACCTATTTATTGTTTGGAGTAAAAAACTCAACTAACCAAAAAAACCCCCGACAAACCCCAAACCCCACCCCATGCACGTGCACGGTTGTGAACGCAGAGGACAGCATACTTCCTCTGCGTTGTGATATTCTGCCGGGTATGTCACACATTAGGATTTACCCAGGCAACGTATCAAAGGAAAGGCTGCTGTGGGAAGGATAACAAGGGCTGTAACAACGTGCTCTTTCCTAAAGGTCTGCCTTAACGTGCAAGCACCTTTGCTTGCGGCTTGATCTGGGGACATGTGTGCATTGTTGGCCGGGGGCCAGTGACATCAGAGCGGCTCTAGCCCTCGTCGGGCGCTTCCTTTGCATCCTGCCATCACAATAGCGAACCGTGCAGCGAGATTTCCTCTAGCACGCGCTTCAAAGACAGCCGCCTTATCTGGCTATAGCATCAAGCTGTGAAAAAGAGATACATATAATAAAAATGCTCCCGCTTTTGTCTGAATATAGCTGCAGCGAAATTCCTCCTATACCTGAGAAAAAATTAGAAAGCGACACCAAATATTCACACGTGCCTTTACATTTATAGCTCCACAGCAATGCCTGATGGTTTTCCTAATTTACTATTGGCAGTAAAAAATAAAAAAGTGTTTGTTCCTCTGGGTTTTATTTAGATGGAGAAGAGTCTTCTAACCCATAATTGTGCCAAGGCAGACGCAAGTAGTAAAACAATCTCCCAATACACATTCAGTCAGGAAAGGTCACCCCAGCTGGGGAGCAGCCTGGAGATATCACAGCAGACCAAACCTCCCTTAATGGGGAAGAAACGAGCCTCCTGGCGTGTACTCCTTTCTGGCGTGCTTCACCGCACGTGCAGGGCCCTCGCATAGAGGTAATTACTGTGATACACCTCTGCCAAGCAGCGGGTGGGCATACGAACAGGCTTGTTTTAATTAGCGGCACTCTCCAGCTCCGAAGGGACCGTCCCCATGCAGCCACCAAGCCCCCTCACCGCTGAAGGACACCCTCCTCTCGCAGCATTTCAATTTTTCTTTTGTCCTCCCCCAAATAAGACTCACAAATTCAGTACAGACCCCTTCTACCCAAGCCATCCTCCGAAGACGATCCTACCCCTCCTCTGCAAGATCCTCCTCCAAGGACGGTGCCTGGGAGCCCAGGCAACACCCTCTGCTCCTCTCCTTTACAGCCTGCTCCTTACGAGCCCGCGCTTCACCCACCCACTGCCCGAATGCACCTTACCGGGTGCGTTAGTGGTCATTAATAGGATGAGACCTTCCCTTTCTGCACAGCTCTCCAGCTCCACTGCTGGTGCTCAGTAGCTTTCAAGACTTTCCAGCTCCGGCCGCACAAAGCGACTTCCCAGGCTGAGCTGGGAGGCAGCAAGTTTCCTAAAATATGGAGCTTTTACTCCATCTCCTTTTCCACAATTGCTGCCGGCTTCCTACCCGATCCGCAAGCCCTGCGCCAGGGGGCACGGCCTCTCGCTTGCAGGAGAAGATGCGCAGGCAAGCCTGAGTGGATGAAATGCAAACTCTGCTGCAGCCCGCTCCCAGCCTAGTTCGGGCAGGAAAACCGTGCAGCGAGCCTATTCTTGCAGGAAAACCCCTCCATCCATCAGCCTGGCCAAGGCAGGTCCTGACCCTTTCCTGATTTTCACAGTGGAGTCCACCACTGCTTGTTTCTCTGCTGCCAGTCACCAAAATCACCCAAAATCCCAGCTTCTGGGGGGCTAACGTAGGATACGCGTTCCCCGCCGGAGCCTGCCTCTCGGGGCCAAAACCACGAAGGAACAGACATAGCTACCGTGAAGCCGATGGCGATGCCCAGGAGCGTGGAGACAAAGTCCATGTGCTTCTTCAGGAAATCCTGGATCTCTCGCAGGCAGTCCTGGGAGGAGAGAGACACCCCTTGCAGCACAGCAGCAGCTCGGTGGGGGGGCTTCGTCCCCCCAACAGCACTTGCCACAACCCCAGATAGAAAGGGAGGCAAGAGGGGGACGCAGCATTGCACGGCTGGGCTGCTTTGTGGGCAGCTCTCCTTTTTCCTGCTGCAACTTGGGAAGACAAACACCTGCGGTCTATTTTCTATTACTACAATACACCTACGATTTTCTTGGTATGATGTGTTTCGGACTGTGGGGGATGTGTGTGCGCACAGGTGAGTGTGGTCACGCGCGAGGTTTTTTCTTTCCACCCGCTAGAAAACGGAAAGAGGGAAATGAAAAAATGGAAAAAGCAGAGCACACCACAATGCTACATGCGTTCCCCAAAGATATTAATGAACAGCTCAATTTTGCAAAGTGTCGCAAGCATTAATATACGTTAGCATTAAGCATGCCAGCAGCCCCACGGAAATCCAGGAGGTGTTAGCCAAGAGAGCCATTTCAGAAATGCAGGAGCATGCCCTTGCTGACGAGATTTGCAGAGTGAGGTAAGAGTGCTCAAAGCCAGAGAGTGAATGCACTGCAGCCACCAAACTGCAGTTCCCTGGGTCGCAAAATGCATCCTCCCACGCACCTCCCCCGGCTCGCTACCGGAGGAAACGCCAACCGTTAGCGGGGCGGGGAGCAGAGTCACCCCTACGGGGCCCGGTTTTGCTCTGCTCTCCCTTCCTGCTCTTCGAGCCAGAGCTCAACCCTGCTTCGAGATGTGACGTTTCTGGAGGCAGCGCTGTGAAACGCTGCCCCGCGGGCTGACGCGTGCCTGCGCGTCACGGCGTCCTGTTGGCGCTGGACATCTTCGCCTAACAACGTTTTCGTATAGCTGTAGCAACACGGTTTTGTTTTTCCTAGGGACAACACACATATTGGTGCTGGTGGCTTTGGCTACTTCAGCTGACGTGGCTACTCCAGCGGAGGAAAAATAATCACACAATAGATTTGCTCAGAGAGCGTGAACTCTATGTTGCAGCTTCAGCACAGAGGCAGTTTAATACTGGTGGCTTCTCCATCGGCCTCACTGAGATACTGCAAAGAGGAGGAATGAAGTGTACTTGGTGAAGCTACTGCTGGGCATCATCATCCTGCTCCATGAGTTTCTCGTTTTAATACCTACTTAATGCCCTGGGAAAAAGGAATTACAGCAAATTCCACATTTGCTGTTAGTGGGACACTTTTTAAGCTTCAGCAATTAACGTCACGTGGAAAAGTCCAACAGTTTTTTTGAGCTCAGACGCGCCCGTGATATCTCACACTCTCTGCGGAGGCAGGAGATGAGGAGGAAGCTGAGGGAAGCGACAGGCTACAGACACAAGCATTTCGAAGGCTTTCTTCTAGAGCTGCGAAGGAAACCACATCTGCAGGTCTGAGACCTGCTGATCCACTGCGTCCCCTCCAGCGGGTGAGACGCCTCCTTATCGAAACAACAAAACCCCAACAAAACAAACCCCAAGCCATAGCAACCCCAAACCGTGAAAAAGCCACAATTCTCATTAACACTTAAACACCAGTGAGGTTTTAACACTTAGCACGTAGCGGCACAACAAGTGGAAGAAACCTTTCCCTTACCTGTCCCGCATCGCGCGTCTGGCCGGAGGGGCACGTCTTGCGCTCGACGTTGGCCGTGTCCCCAAAAGGAGAGCGCTTCCCGCAGCAGAGGAACTGGAAGAGAGGGAGAGGTCTGCCAGCCACACGCCGGGGCTCTCCCCTCGCTGCC